TTCACTAAACAACAGAACTTACCAGAGATCTTAAAGATTTTTCAAGACGGACAGATTGATCCACGTGTTTTGATCATATTACCTACATTCTAACTCAGCATAAGCATAAATTTATCTACTCTATTCGTTATACCATCGAGATGATCCAAACTCGAGTAAATAAGTTCTTTGAAATCAGAATAATGAAACGTGACTTAAAACTTTTTTGAAAAAAAATCAGGCAAAAGCATCTTACCGGAGAAAGTTCCTTTGTAATCCGAATTAGGCAACTGGAATTGGTTACAGTTATTCTGAAAAAATGATCGAAGAAATTTGCAATTATAATTGATTAAAATTGGATTATTTTGCTTCAAAAACAAGTTTCATTTTCTTCCAAAAAATAATCGATTATATTCGGATTTTTTTGCGTCGAAACATAGTATCCGTATAATCCACTTTAATGATTATTTTTAAATTTTTGTAGAGACTGACAATAAAAGTCCCATATAAGCGACTATTATCCATGAAACTTTAGTGCAGGTAGGTTTTCGTAATCGAAGACTTGAACGATTTCTTCGTTTTTGAGTTGTAAAGGTTGATATTTTTTTCTTTAAATGGCCCGGAATCTTGATGAAGCTTGTTTGCGAGCGCCTTAAGGCCTTAATTTTCATTTGATCATCAGTCAGGTTGAATTTAAATCTCGGATGTCAAGCTGTTCCGAGGTTTAAATTTGATGAACTAGCGCGAGGTTGGGGAAGTATGAGGTTGTTTGTAATACAACCCAGGGTTTCGAACCCGCTTGTGTAAAAGTTCGTCAGCGGCTATAGGTTTTCCAGTTAAATTCTCAACTTTCCTATCTGTTGCAGAAAAAGCATCCTAAATTATAAGTTTCTCAAAAACATTTCATTAAACAACAGAACTTACCAGAGATCTTAAAGATTTTTCAAGATGGACAGATTGATCCACGTGTGTTTTGATCATATTACCTACATTCTAACTCAGCATAAGCATAAATTTATCTACTCTATTCGTTATACCATCGAGACGATCCAAACTCGAGTTAATAAGTTCTTTGAAATCAGAATAATGAAACGTGACTTAAAACTTTTTTGAAAAAAAATCAGGCAAAAGCATCTTACCGGAGAAAGTTCCATTGTAATCCGAATTAGGCAACTGGAATTGGTTACAGTTATTCTGAAAAAATGGTCGAAGAAATTTGCAATTATAATCGATTAAAATTGGATTATTTTGCTTCAAAAACAAGTTTCATTTTCTTCCAAAAAATAATCGATTATATTCGGATTTTTTTGCGTCGAAACATAGTATCCGTATAATCCATTTTAATGATTATTTTAAAATTTTTGTAGAGACTGACAATAAAAGTCCAATATAAGCGACTATTATCCATGAAACTTTAGTGCAGGTAGGTCTTCGTAATCGAAGACTTGAACGATTTCTTCGTTTTTTGAGTAGTAAAGGTTGATATTTTTGTCTTTAAATGGCCCGGAATCTTGATGAAGCTTGTTTGCGAGCGCCTTAAGGCCTTAATTTTCATTTGATCTTCAATCAGGTTGAATTATGATCTCTGATGTCAAGCTGTTCCGAGGTTTAAATTTGATGAACTAGCGCGAGCTTGGGGAAGTACGAGGTTGTTTGTAATACAACCCAGGGTTTCGAACTCGCTTGTGTAAATCGTAGATAAGCTGTTCATTAGAAATAATACTGTGTAATTTGTCGATCTTTAGTTTCTATCTACAGATTGACTATTATTCTGGATGCTTTTGCTTATAACAGATATATCTAATAAAATTTATCAATTCAATTTTTTTTTAGAAAACAGACTATATGTGAGTCTAGTCTGTTATTCGCGAGTTTTCTTCTTTCAATGTGTTTCCTGGGTTCTTTTATTTTTCGCACCCCCATTGAAATGAAACAGAATGAGATCTAATTATCTGGGGCATGATCGTTTAATTGCCCACTTTGGGGCTTAAGATAAGGTGATTGTTTAATGAATGGTAGGAAGTTCTGACCCCTGGGATATGATTAACAGCGTGAAAGATAACTGAACGTCTTTAATAATGAAAAGAGTATTGGCAGTTCTCTATTTATTTTGCCATAGAGAAGAAAACCCTGAAAAGATTGGAAATAAAAGCAAAAATTCGACTTCCGCTTCAAGCCTTTTACAAGTCAGTTTTGTGTCGAATTACCATCAATTAGAACCATCGTTAGGCATTCTCGCAGTTGTAATCCTTCTATCAGCTCATTCTCTTATCTGGGTTATGTTGGAATGAAATTCATTTGAAAAAAAAAAACAAGTTTGAGTAGTTTTTTTTTCCGCAGCAATATTTTGCATTGAGACGTATTTCAGTTTGCTTTTTAAATTTTTTAATAACAAGTAAGTTTTGTTTTTGAATCCGGACGATAATTATGGTGTCGTTTCTCACTAGCGATGCTATCTATTACTTAATTGTTTTCGCCAGTTTAATCGGAAGCCTTGTAGCCTTTCGAAATATCTTCTCGCTGGCTTGTCTCCGAGTGACTGATCAGGGTCTGGATTTCTACATCTACTACAATCCAGTATTTGTCATTTCAATCTGTCTCTGCTTTCTGGCAATTTTGGACAACGAGTGTGTGCCTGGACTCTCGATGTGTATGGACTCATTGCTCGGAGCATGTCACTTACAGCTGGCCATCAATTGGTTGGAAATAGCAAGTAAATGCGCACAGATTTAGTCGTACTACAGATTTCGTCCTATTTATTTAATTAACAGGTTTCGTCCCATACAGATTTCGTCCCATATCCAACATCCTATCATCCCATATCCAAATTTGTGGGACGAAATCTGCGTACGCTTTGAAATGGGACGAAATCTGTTGAGATTAAAATGGGACGAGATCTGTCATGGGACGAAATCTGTCACAGCCGCTAGAACCATTATTCAGTAAATTGGTCTGAAATATTTATTCAAATATTAATTCGGAATAAAAGATATTTTCATAGTGATATTTGTCAGCAAGGAGGCGATCTAGGGCTTTCGCGAAGAGGGTTTTCGAACACATGGTTGATATTTTTTGTTCGATCATTTGAAGTTTCGAGTGTTTTTAAGACAATAAAGTAATTCTTTCCTTAATGTTTGCGCGATATTCAATTAATCAGAAAATGCATCGACAATGACATTTTGAGCACCTTTTGAAAACTTTTTTTTTTCGAAAATTTGATTTTCGTTGACGCGCGCTCCACGCCCAAGCATACACCGCTGACAAGAATTCCCTACCCGTAGCCTGCATATAACTAATATTCCGTTCAAAATGTGAAAACATTTAAAAAAAATTCAAAAATGTTTTCAAAGCTGCTTGCCACTTCAGAAAAATTACGATAGGAGCACATTTTAGGTATAAAATACTCTTAAACTCAAAAGACCGCTTGAGTTTAAGAATAGTTAGCGCTTCGTCTTTACCACCGAAGTATTTCGTTACCAGGCAACGGATACCAACTGGTATCAGATGTTAAGCATCTTCATGTCTTGACTGTGTTCGCATTGGTGTCATTTTTCGAACTGTTTCTTACCGGCTTCGTGACCGGAAACGATACTTGTGACACCCGGGTTGACACTTCACGATTGACAAACCCTTCTACAATTTCACTGCTGATGATGAAGACTCATCTGTTTTTCGTGGTTGCAGATGTGATGTTTATTGTTGTACAAAAAAATCAGGCAAAAGCATCTTACCGGAGAAAGTTCCATTGTAATCCGAATTAGGCAACTGGAATTGGTTACAGTTATTCTGAAAAAATGGTCGAAGAAATTTGCAATTATAATCGATTAAAATTGGATTATTTTGCTTCAAAAACAAGTTTCATTTTCTTCCAAAAAATAATCGATTATATTCGGATTTTTTTGCGTCGAAACATAGTATCCGTATAATCCATTTTAATGATTATTTTAAAATTTTTGTAGAGACTGACAATAAAAGTCCAATATAAGCGACTATTATCCATGAAACTTTAGTGCAGGTAGGTCTTCGTAATCGAAGACTTGAACGATTTCTTCGTTTTTTGAGTAGTAAAGGTTGATATTTTTGTCTTTAAATGGCCCGGAATCTTGATGAAGCTTGTTTGCGAGCGCCTTAAGGCCTTAATTTTCATTTGATCTTCAATCAGGTTGAATTATGATCTCTGATGTCAAGCTGTTCCGAGGTTTAAATTTGATGAACTAGCGCGAGCTTGGGGAAGTACGAGGTTGTTTGTAATACAACCCAGGGTTTCGAACTCGCTTGTGTAAATCGTAGATAAGCTGTTCATTAGAAATAATACTGTGTAATTTGTCGATCTTTAGTTTCTATCTACAGATTGACTATTATTCTGGATGCTTTTGCTTATAACAGATATATCTAATAAAATTTATCAATTCAATTTTTTTTTTAGAAAACAGACTATATGTGAGTCTAGTCTGTTATTCGCGAGTTTTCTTCTTTCAATGTGTTTCCTGGGTTCTTTTATTTTTCGCACCCCCATTGAAATGAAACAGAATGAGATCTAATTATCTGGGGCATGATCGTTTAATTGCCCACTTTGGGGCTTAAGATAAGGTGATTGTTTAATGAATGGTAGGAAATTCTGACCCCTGGGATATGATTAACAGCGTGAAAGATAACTGAACGTCTTTAATAATGAAAAGAGTATTGGCAGTTCTCTATTTATTTTGCCATAGAGAAGAAAACCCTGAAAAGATTGGAAATAAAAGCAAAAATTCGACTTCCGCTTCAAGCCTTTTACAAGTCAGTTTTGTGTCGAATTACCATCAATTAGAACCATCGTTAGGCATTCTCGCAGTTGTAATCCTTCTATCAGCTCATTCTCTTATCTGGGTTATGTTGGAATGAAATTCATTTGAAAAAAAAAACAAGTTTGAGTAGTTTTTTTTTTTCCGCAGCAATATTTTGCATTGAGACGTATTTCAGTTTGCTTTTTAAATTTTTTAATAACAAGTAAGTTTTGTTTTTGAATCCGGACGATAATTATGGTGTCGTTTCTCACTAGCGATGCTATCTATTACTTAATTGTTTTCGCCAGTTTAATCGGAAGCCTTGTAGCCTTTCGAAATATCTTCTCGCTGTCTTGTCTCCGAGTGACTGATCAGGGTCTGGATTTCTACATCTACTACAATCCAGTATTTGTCATTTCAATCTGTCTCTGCTTTCTGGCAATTTTGGACAACGAGTGTGTGCCTGGACTCTCGATGTGTATGGACTCATTGCTCGGAGCATGTCACTTACAGCTGGCCATCAATTGGTTGGAAATAGCAAGTAAATGCGCACAGATTTAGTCGTACTACAGATTTCGTCCTATTTATTTAATTAACAGGTTTCGTCCCATACAGATTTCGTCCCATATCCAACATCCTATCATCCCATATCCAAATTTGTGGGACGAAATCTGCGTACGCTTTGAAATGGGACGAAATCTGTTGAGATTAAAATGGGACGAGATCTGTCATGGGACGAAATCTGTCACAGCCGCTAGAACCATTATTCAGTAAATTGGTCTGAAATATTTATTCAAATATTAATTCGGAATAAAAGATATTTTCATAGTGATATTTGTCAGCAAGGAGGCGATCTAGGGCTTTCGCGAAGAGGGTTTTCGAACACATGGTTGATATTTTTTGTTCGATCATTTGAAGTTTCGAGTGTTTTTAAGACAATAAAGTAATTCTTTCCTTAATGTTTGCGCGATATTCAATTAATCAGAAAATGCATCGACAATGACATTTTGAGCACCTTTTGAAAACTTTTTTTTTCGAAAATTTGATTTTCGTTGACGCGCGCTCCACGCCCAAGCATACACCGCTGACAAGAATTCCCTGCCCGTAGCCTGCATATAACTAATATTCCGTTCAAAATGTGAAAACATTTAAAAAAAATTCAAAAATGTTTTCAAAGCTGCTTGCCACTTCAGAAAAATTACGATAGGAGCACATTTTAGGTATAAAATACTCTTAAACTCAAGGGACCGCTTGAGTTTAAGAATAGTTAGCGCTTCGTCTTTACCACCGAAGTATTTCGTTACCAGGCAACGGATACCAACTGGTATCAGATGTTAAGCATCTTCATGTCTTGACTGTGTTCGCATTGGTGTCATTTTTCGAACTGTTTCTTACCGGCTTCGTGACCGGAAACGATACTTGTGACACCCGGGTTGACACTTCACGATTGACAAACCCTTCTACAATTTCACTGCTGATGATGAAGACTCATCTGTTTTTCGTGGTTGCAGATGTGATGTTTATTGTTGTGATGGTGAAATGTGTCCGAAAATGGAAGTGGTACAAAAAGAAGTGGGCTGAAACCAAAAGTATGAAAATAGCTTTAAGAAAATAATTTTTCGATGCATGAAGCCAGTTAGAACTATGAATTTTACATTTAAATTGTAGTTTTTTGGGTGGGGGGTCTTAATACAAGTACATAATATTAGTGAGTTCAATGAGTTTTTCTACTTCGATATTTAGTCAAAATATACACCCCCGAAGCAGTTTGGGGAGGGGATGTTAACTTGATCCAAAGTTGAAATAGTTCAAATATGAATCGAGCATTTTACATGCAGCGCTCAGCAAAATTAATCTTAATTAAATGATGAGCGTTCAACTACTTGATTGTCGAATCGTTGTAAAGGGAAAAAAGACTGCGAGAATTCTTGCGTTGCTTTAAATACCTCAAAAACCTGAAATGTGTCAAAATCTGTCTGTCTGTCAAAAAAATTGATTTTAAAGCTATTGACTGTTTTCCATTAAAAATTAGATATAAAGTATTGACTCCTGCTGTTCTCAGGTGACGCCTACGCTTCGTTCACGCCGCGAGAGATCAAATTCATGGCAGCCCACATGAACAACATGCTCTTGGAAAGCATCTGCGGAATTGTTATTTGCACCTGCAGAATGCTACCTCTGGTGTTACATGTATTCAAGGCACCAGCTGTAAAGTACGAAAACGATGTGATGATTTTGGCTATTTTTGTCACCCAAATTATTCAATACAAGATAATGAAGTAAACATCATCGACTTTAAAGTAGTTGAATAAAAAATATATACGTTTTATCGCGGCAAATCTGTTTTCTGATCTATCGAACTAAATATATGCTATTATATCATGATCACCTGAATTTGAAACCTGTGATTTGTTAGCATAGGTGGTTGATTTGAGGGTAGCGTGTAAAAATATCCTAGCAGGTTTCGAACCTCGTGTTGTTGGGGGGTGGTCGCATGCACTAATCACTAGTCTAACAAATCAACAGAATTTCTGAGGTCATTCAGTTTACAAACTGTCACGCGCTCTCATAAACCAGTCGTATCTCGGAAGCAGTACCGTGCCGAAAGAGTGGAGGTGATGGTTCCTCGTCAATTCTGGTTGCTAATTTTCGCTCAATTCGAGGTGAGAGCGCGCGCCGTAAAAACTCATTTTTTAATCAAAACTTTATAAAAGGTGCACTAAAGAAACCCCATCAAAAACTTAATAATAGTAACCGGTTGCTGTGCAAGTAGCTCAGGATATTCCGTCGCGAAATTGTTCACGCTGAAATTGAGGGTTTTACGAGGTTTGACTTTTGTTCTCAATTTGAGTTCAGTTCACTTTATCAAAAAAAAATACCATGAGTTTCCTGAGTTCAAGAGCTTAAAAGGCTTATATTTTTTTCTTTGAAACTCGAAAGTTGAAGTTTTCAAAATGCAAATCAGTGTTTATTTCTGTTTCGTTGCGTTCATGAATATTTTCCAACTGTCTATTGGCTATATTTTCAATGAGAGATGAGAGATCCATAAATTATAGCAGGCCGTTAACAGGTATCATTTTTTGTTTGCTTGGCGGGTCATTCATCGTTGAATGAAAAAGTTCGATTTAGTTTGAAGAGTCCACTATATATTTTGAGTTTGAATAGTTTGACCCATTTTATTTGAAGCATAGTCAAATTCGGCTGGCACAAATCCACCTCCGCCGCCATAGTTTCTTGGTCGGAACAACAATGGGTTGAGATTGACCAATTTGAAGACACTCAATCGCATTTTGTTTTAATTGGTCTTAGGTTGGTTTCTCTGCATGATCTCCAAGTCTTTGTTCTTTGCGAAAGCTGGAGCAGCTCAATCAATAGGGTCTTAAGTAGTCTTTCAGTTTTTTTACATTACTTAGAGCTTTTAAAGAAGCCCAACTCTCTTATCAGATTTTTGACAAAGATCTATGATTTTTTACAGCAATCAATATCGGTTTAAATTGTATAGCGTTTGCCATTTTTCTTTTAAAACCTCTACACGCAGTCTTCGCAGTGGATCGAAGCTTAAATTGAATCGGAGATACTCTCAGAAAGGGCGAACCTTCCCTTCTTTGTTCGATAGAGTTGTTTTCTGTGTCAACAATTTTTGTGAAATCTTCAAAATCAACCTAATAATACCTCCAAACAACTATGAAAGCGAAACACGATCGGCTCTTTTTCGGCGAACAGCAATATATTATGATCCTGTTAGACAAGTACGACATCTGGCATTTGCAGCTGGTATTTGAAGTGCAGATGTCGTACTTGCATTGCTTCAACAAAGTTATAATACCAATTTCAATTTTACTGTCCTTGAAATTTTCACATAAGCCTTAATTTGATCTCGTTATGTAATTGCTGCTCTAATTCCTTCACTCTCAAATTAAAGTTTTTTACTACTACTATTTCTATTGCTAAGTAAAAACGGAATTACTTTTTTTTTTGAATAAAATAAGTTGTTCAATTAAGTTAATACTGTCTCACAACATTCCATTAGGGTCTGCTAGGCGCATGTTAGCACTCTTGACTTGAACTCATATATGATTGCCAATCCAATCAAAACAATTTTTGTCGGCCACTCTGTTGAAAAATGGAGCTCCTCAACCCTCCGCCTTGCCGGAATTTAAAATGTTTCCTTGCTTTGTTTCTTCAAGTTGGCTTGTGACTTTATTATCCAAATAAAACAAATTTGGTATTCAATAAATCTACCGTCGAATTGGTTCTTTCCAATTAAATGGGAAATGATGGGAAGAAGCTATGTTATAGTGCGGGATTTTTAACTTCCGAAAATTTCAGTTTCTAGACAAAATCGGACGAGCCGAATGTGATGAGATTTTGAACTTTCAATTTGATTCCACTGCTATTGATACGTTTTTAGCTATTGTTATTAAGAGTAATGACCGTAGTGAGTACTCTTATATAGGTCTTGTTTTTTTTTGTTTTTCAGGACAAAGTCTTCAACTGGCGGTTCAACTTTTGATTTCAACTTTAAAAGGAAGGCAAATTCACTGTGGAAAAGCAAAAATGTAAGGTCACGAAAAGCGTCATTGACTTCTAATTTCGCAAATGGAAAGTAATTGTCAGATTTCACAGCGAAATCAAAGTTTTACCCAATAATCCAGTTTTCTCTCATTGGGTTAATTTTATCAAACAAGCGTCAATCATTATTTATTCTTCAAATTCAAAGAGCTTTGAGGCCATTTTTTCTTCGGAGTTCAAAAGTTGAAAGTTTTTCAAAAAAACAACCCCAATTTTTTTTTAGTTTCCTTGCGTTCATTACTCTTTTCCAACTGTCAGTTGATTATATTTCAAGTTTTTTCGTTCATTGCCTTTGTTTCAAAAATCTCAATTCGAACTTTTCTCTGTTGTTAATAAGCTTTATAGTTTGAATAGACAATTTTGAGAACTTATAAGTCATTAATTTTTCAGCAAATTGATTAAAATAAATAAACTCAAAGATGGTTTTTTTCTTGAAATTTCATGCTTTAAACTTTATCTTTGAGGTCATTTGCTTAAATCATTGTGCTTTGAAAATAATGTCCCTCAAGTTCTTAAAGTTATCTATTCAGACAATAGTTCCTTAACATCGTTCAAATTGGGTAAACTAGAAAAATCCATTTTGCTTTGAGAACTTTCAAAGCCCCTAAAAAAGCTCATTAACTTGAAAAAAGTTGAAAATTGAGGCTTTAGAAATTCTCAAAGCTGAATAAATTTTCTACTTTACTCAACTTGAACAATCTAAAAGAAAAATTAGTCTGAATGAATACTTTTAGGAATTTAGGGGCCTATATTTTCCAAGCGCGATGATTTATCTTACGTAAATGAGATTTATCAAGTAATACAGTGTAGTTTTTGGCTTCAAATACTGATTCTAAAAATGAAAAAGTATTCTTTTAGAAAGCTTCAGAAGAGTGTTTCTGTTCTCCACTTGACAGGCAGGGCATTAACCTATTAAACATATGCCAGACTTCAAAACCATTTCATAGGTAGCGTCAAACTCTATTATTTGTTTGCGTAAATTTGTTCCAGCAAAAAATGAGCTTCTGTTTGGACCAAGGTAAATTCGTAAAAGTTAAACGATGTAAACTTCAAGGTTTTATACATGAATCAGTGATTCAAAAGGTTTTAAAAGTACTTGAATAAACTTTTTATTTTTTTCCGCTCATAATTAGTTCCAGTCTAAATGTTCCAGGGTTAGTTCCAGTCAAAATGTTTCAGAGAAGAACCCCAAATTATAGTATGTGTTGTGAATCTTGTCAAATTCTTTCATATGCGGGTACCACTAATTGAAGTCAAAGAGCAGCAATTTTTCGAAGCCGAACATAAGTGACTATCAAAAAAATTTGGCAAAAAACATCGTTGGTGTTAGGTTATACATTTATAAGATGAAGCTTACAACTTTCTGTACCCATTTTTTTTGGAACTTCTTAGCCATTAGAAGAAAACTACAGGTTTAATGTAAACTGTAGTGTGTGTTGGAAAGCTTGTCAAATTCCTTCTTCTGCGAGTATCACTAATTGAAGTCAACGAGCAGCAGTTTTCCGAAGCCGAACATAAGTGACGGTCATACACATCTCGCGGAAAACGTCCCAAGTGTTAGGTTGTCACTTATGTTCGGCTTCCGAAAACTGCTGCTCTTTGACTTTAATCAGTGGTACTCGCAAATGAAGGAATAAGGCAAAATGCATAACCTAACACTTGGGACGTTTTCCGCCAGATGTGTGTGACGATGCATTTATAGGTTGAAGATAACAGCTTTCTGTACCCAGTTTTTGGAACTTTTTAAGCCATTAGAAGAATACTACCGGTTATTATTAGAATTACTACAGATTTAATTAAAGGGGTAAATTAAAGGTAGGGCTTCAATCCGGGAACTCTTTTTTCCAAGTCTGATTCATTAAAACAGCGTATTTGTGTTCCCTCAGTATAAGAAAGCCTGCTCAGTTCCATTTCTAGAAAAATTGTGGTCAGTAATTGCGATATGACTATAAACTGCTATCAACTACAGTATGCTGCAATTCACTTCATGTTTGTGAAAATTTGTGGGAGGACAATTCAGCATAGCAGTTGTTTGGCATGCTCTAATATATTTCGAAAGCGGGTCCTCTGTTATACTAGAGACCTAAGGTAACGAGACGAAGGTAACTTTGCATTTTGAACAAATACAAATGCATCTGTAGCTGCACCTCAGACTATATTTTACTCAACCACATGTTGTCTACGCTTTAACACGCTCAAAACTGTTTTTTTAAACTTGTTCTTTAAATAATGAAAAAGTTTCGTTGCGTGAAAATCCAATATCTGAAAGATTAAAACAAGCGATTCGAATAAGTAGCCGACCTGAGTTTTTTAAGTGATACATTTATGAAATTTTGGAGGATGCCAGGTCACTGCTATACTACAAGGCATTATGACATGAGAGGATCAATTGCTTTAATTTTGGGGCAACGTCTTGTAGTATACCTGTGACATAGCATCCTTCAAAATTTCATAATTGCATCACTCAAATGACTCAGTTTAGCTGCTTATTCAATTTTTTTTTAGAAACGCGATTGATCCTTTCATGACATAAAGAACCAAAAAAAGATTTCTTTTTTCATAATCTCAAATAATGACAAAATTGGACATGAAGATTATTCAAAAGCCATTTTTTGCAAGCTTCCGCGCTTATCCATTTGCGCCGGTCTTAGCCCAATTAAAATTTATATCCCAAAAATTTTTTTAAAAAAAGGCAAAATTTCCAACTTAGT